CCTTCTCTAGGATTGAGAATGAATTTCCCCAGACATTGTGTAATGATATCATAATTGACAAGGATCTTCATACTGTCCAAGACCCTCCCACCATTACAAGGCAAAAAGATTGTTGAGGAATCTGGCTTTTTGAGTAATAGAAGATATACATCAGTAAAATTCCTTTAACTAGGCGTGGCTGCTGAAAGATATTGGGAATTATATAACAAGACTGAAAAGGTACATAAGAACCTAAGATTCATTATTAGCCATTCTGTTTTGCATAGGTGGATATAAAATTAAGACCGAAAGAAAGGAAGCATTGAGCAAAACACTGGATCTGAATAGGCGATAAGTACCTCAGACGATCACAAGAAAATAATCAAGAGCATAAATGGATAAGTTCCTCAGATAGTCAGGAAGAAGAAGAATATCCCAAAAAGATTGATTCCTAATGAGAAGAGGTTTCTAACGAGGTTCTTTGAAGAACATGGAACAATTTTAAATTTCTTTTTTCATTTTTCATTTTTCATTTTCATGTAAGTGCATTTATACATTTTTAGATATTCCCCTTTCCTTTTATTTTTTCTTTCCCCTTTTGTAGTTTCTTGAATTCAGTTCCTTGGAGAATAATAAGCAGTAACAATCTGTTGACAATGATGGATAAATTAGGAGGGTCTTCACCCAAAACTTAGTTCAGAGTGAAATATTGTCCCCAAAATTGCACTTAGAGGCTGAAGCTCTTTTGAGAATTAAAAGCCATTAACGAGTGTGTCAGTACAAGATTTTAGTTTAGCCATGATGCAATTGCCCTATGTATCTCGATCAGTTTTCTTAATGATTAATAAATATATAATACTGGCCTGACCACGGATATTAAAAAAAAAAATAATAAAGATAATTTTTAATTGTTTTTAATTAATAATACTTACTTATTGACTTTAATATAAATATTTTAAAGTCTTTTCTATTTAATATGTTAAAGCTATAATTAATTTACTATTTATAAAGATTATTAATGTCATGTTTAAAAATAAAATTTTAAATAAAAATTTATATTTAATATTTATTTATAATTAAAAAAATTTTTTTTATTTTGTATTTTTTTTTTGATTTTAAAAATTTTAATTAATTTTTTTTCATTTTTTTTTTTTAATTTAAAAAATTTTTCTCAAAAAACTTGCTTTTTTTTCTATTGTTCTTTGTATTTTTTCTCTCTTTTATTCTTAAAATATTTAATTTAATTCACAAAAATATATATTGTCTTCAAAATTCTATTATTTCAATATCTTATAACAAAAAATTAATATAAATCATATTTAATATATTACAAAGATTTATATATCCAATCAATAAATATTAAGTAGATACTATAGGTTTTAATATTTTTCTTTTTGATTAACAATTTACATAATACTAGTTTGAACCTTTTCTGAATAGCAATTGTATATTAAAATTTTATATATATTTCATAGTTTTATAATAATTTTTATATTATTTAAGAAAAAAAATTGATATAATACTTTTTCTGCTAATCCTCTGACTATATACAAAAAAGATGTTTACAAGAAGTTTTTATACTTTCTCACTAACAAAGTCTTGATACTCTCCTTAAATTAATCTAAAGGTTACTTTCAGAAGTCACATCTATCTTCTTTCTTTTGTTTATAATTACTCTCAAACAAATAGAACTTTGTAACCTGCAAAGTTCAGTTTTCACCTTTACTACCAATGACAAGAAAATTCTTAAAAGAAGAAATACCATCAGTAAAATACCTGTTTTCACTTTTCTAAAGTAGAGGAACAGGATATAATAGAGATTCTATTCTAGTAAAGAACTTATTTTTTCTTTTAACTAGATATATGACCTTTAAGAACTTCTATTTTATAAATTTCCAGAGAATTTTGTCTACACTAACTTGATCTTGAATTTTAGAATAGCACAAATTCAGCCGATTTTAATTGGTTAAAATGAAAAATATTGAATAAGATTAATAAACAAACTCCTATTAACCACTTTACATGTCATAATATACTTTCTCAATCCTATAAGAATCTAAAATCTACTATAAGTCACATATTTAGGTATGGATGGATATAAGATATGATAACAATATATCATTGGATCAAGAAAGAAATGATTTATTTAACCATAACAAAGATTATAAGATATTTTAATCATTTTAATATTGGAGCCACCTATTCTTGATAGTTAAGTAGATTTAAATAACCCTTGTAAATAAATAAAGATCAGTTTCTTTTTATATAAACAAATAAGATAAACAAGAGGTTTTTTTCAACTGGCAAGTTTTTTAATCCTAATTTATGATTTTGTAAAAAAAGCATAATCTGAAGATCAATATCAAGATTGTCAACATATTTTCTTCTTTTATGTCTATCAGTATTCTGGTTACCAATTGATACTTATTAATTATATTCTAAGTGAAAGTACTTATTGAAAACTTTTGTCAAATTGAAAGATTCCTAAAGACTCAGTCAGACTTTAAAAGTGTTGTGTCTTTTTAAATAAGCAACTTATGCTTGAAGCTGACATTATTTTTAGAATCAAGTTATCAATCCTTTCGTAGATTTTAAGATATTCTTCTGACCATAGGATCCACCAGATTTTTAGATGAGTAGTCCCTTAAACAGACTCCCAGATGAAATAACATAAAAAAAGCTAACCTCTAAAACTATTCCCCTTCCATTTGGAATGAAAAAGATGTAGAAGAAGTCTCCCCTCCATTCTGAAGATAAAGAGATACTGCACTCTGATGGATAATTTTCAGATATTGATTCTTTTCTAGATATTAGCCTCAGTAAATGGTCTGTAGTAAAGAAAATTTAGATCTCCATCTGGCAATGCTCCATTTAATTTTTCTTACAATACTAGCATGCTCAAAGAGATGTTGATATTCTTTTTGTTTAAAGAAAGGGCAATAAGCCTCGAGGTAGCTTTAGATTATCGTACACTTTATCACACCCTGAATCTACACCCCAGTACCTTTGCGAAATGCAATGGATATATGTAGTTTGGAACTAATAAAGTCAGGCAGGAGCCCGTTTTTAAAAAAAAACATATATCATTTAAGATAATAAAATAATAATATAATTGGTTCAACAAATTAAAAATATATGTAAATAATTATATTTATTGTACTGTATATAGAATCAATGATATTTGAAATCCTATCAATAATCAAAATGAAAATAATGGAAAGAAAAATAAAAATATTCATGATTTGAGGTTTAGAAGCAGATTACAGTATTTACACATTCCTGGTGATATTGTGAGAGCTGGTATAGGGAAGAGGGTTATATAGAGTGTACGCGCCAAAGTGCTCGATGAAATTTGACCAGAACTCGTCGCTCCGATGCGAAGGATGTTTTAGAGTATGATTAATGGCATTAGTTGCTTTCGTCACGGCGGTTTGATCATTAAGATTTTCAAGATGGACTAAGCCAACCCGTCAAAAGAGCGAAAATTATTACGAACGGACATGGCTTTTTCTTTCCGCGTGTTGCAGTATTAGAGATGGTGTGAAAACCTTTATTATCTCGAAATATCTGAGCTTACTCCACTTCAACCTAGGGTGCCGAACATGTTTTCTTTTTATTTGTCCATCAGGTCATTTTAATCCTAACCACCGACCGAAGGCAACCCACAATCGTGACATGTAAGTTAACGTTCTTTTCTACTCCGTTAATAATATCAGTGTCTACAAGTGACAAAAATCTTCGGGGATTTCGTTGATTCGAGAGAACTACTATCTGGGTCGGATCTTGATTCCTTAGTTAATGTCTCAATCAGATCTCGTGCGAAATATTTTATTTTCTTTAGAGGATATACGATCAGAGAAAGAGAGAGGAACACTTATCCACCTTCAAATATTAAGCTTTATCGCGTTACGGGTTGCGTGTTGAGTTCGGATAAGTAAAAATATTATCGGATATTAAATGATAGTTTGTCTAACTATGAAATTTCTAATTAGTTACATTATTCGCGAAACAAACGAGTAACATAACCAAAGTGCTGAGCAACCTGCTCGGAATGAATGAGGAAATTGTGTGCATGTTCGATCAGACAACTCACCGAAGCGAACTCGCGACAAATAATTATGTAACCCTCATATCAGAATCGACAGTGAACGAAGGTACGTCTTCCGATTTGTAAGACATGCTCTTGTGCTCACTTGAGTTTCTTATTTTAATTATACCTGAGGCGTCGTGATATTTTCCCTTTCGTAGCTGGTACATTCGATGTGGCGGTTTCTTATTGTTGGATGAAATAATTACTGAGTTTACGGTGTATTGCTAATAGTCGAGCGTTATGTTAAAGCATGATTTTTTTTGATTAAATGCACCAATCATAATTCGATTATAGACTCGTGACTTGGTCACTTATTTATTTTCCATTTTATATAGATAATTACATAATAAAAAAATTTTTGTCGGTCAAAATAACGAATAGGTAGAAGTGTAGAAGCAGTTATGCCTGCTGGATTCCATTTCTACAATAAAAATAATTCATTTATTAGCTCGTTATTATACATAAAACCAGACGTGATAGAAACTCCAGATAAACGTACACTCGATTAAACATTCGTTTCGTGGTTTTTGGTGTCCAAGTACCTTTTTAAATAGATTCACAAGTGGTTGTCAATGGTTGATTTACAATAACATTAATAAACTTTAAGCAGTTGGCAGGGAACACACAAAATAAGGAGCTTCGTTTATCCTCAGTTAAGCCAACGAGTCCAGCGCAACGACTAAAGAATGCACCCTTACGAATGTAACTAAACAATGAAGACACACTTTTCAGATGACTCACTTAGCCAACGCTGATTTAGACCTACCCCTTGAACGAAATGAATCACTCTCAGAGTAAGACGCACCGCCCACACCAATTTTTGGTATGAATTCGAAAAAATTGTGCGAGAACTTATTTTCCATGCCATGGTGCCAACTGCACAAAATTATTATGCATATTGTTACGTACCCTTTATTTTCATTCTTCGCCTTCAAATTCTGTAGATAAAATGGATAGCCATTAGCTTGTTATAATGTATAAAAAATTAAAAAAATTCTATACTTACAATATCAAACATCACATTTGCAAATCGAATAAATTTACGAACTTGAATTTTTCTCTCTTCAGCCTTGATTGTTTTCCAAAGCTTCATCACGTATTCATTTTCATCCATTACTAATTTTAGTATCTTTTTTCCATCATCTTTTTCGGTGCCTTCTAAATCTTCGAGAATATCAAGTACGAACTCTGTTATTTTCCCAAGATCAAGTCTTCTTTTTTGTGACACATCAATATTCTCTTTATCATCAAATACATTGTCAAATTTTCTTTTTTGTGATGGGTTGACATTCTCTTCATTATCAAGTATCACTTCCGATTTTCTTTTTTGTGAAGCCTTATCAATCCATCGTTTAATTATTTCACTATCAATATCTTCTTTGTTAGCGAATACTTCTTCGTAATTTCCGCCTAATACCAAATAAAAAGATCAGTCTATACTCTTAAGTAAAATCAAATTGTTATGTTCTCACGGTCACTTACCAAGGCAAATTATAACTTCGCAAGCAAATATAGAGACGTGCTGGAGTGCATGGTCGCTCCAACGACCTTTTCCGCTAACCACGATTCCATGAGCCAATTTGTTTCTCACATTTTTTTTAAAGTTAATTAGTAACTCGGCAGGGTTGGTCTTATATTGACCGTGGAACACGGATTTTTTTGAGAAAATAGCAATGTTTTCCAGGATAAAATTTAACATGCATAATAGATCGGCGTTGCTGAAGTCTTTGCTAATAGGAGGCCGTTGTTTATCCGCGAATGATTCAACAATTTCTAGAGGAATAATATCTTCGTTGTTGACAAGGAAATCGTAAACTGTTCTCTCAGCAAGATTAATGAAAGGTTCTATAATCACCCCTTGTTCCTTTTCGGTAAAAGAAAATGATTGTTCAATTGATGAAGAATCGCGAGTGGTTGTATTATTTGTGCGATTATTGGTGACGGTTGCGTGTTGACCAACGGCAGATGAGTGAAACCGCGTTTTTTTAAAAACCGCAAAAGGCTTTGACTGTTTTTGAGATGAGGAAGAAGAGGAGGAGGATAATTTTTTATCTGCAAGCCAGCCGAACATCGTGATGTTTGCTAGAGAACTTTGACGAAAGTTTTTATCGTTATATAAAAGGTCTTGAAGTGATTTGTATATAGACTCGCGAGACTTTTTCAACGGACAGGCATGACCTAACGCGTCCAAAGTGGAGTCGAAAGTTTCTTTAAGATTCTTTTCTACAACACCGGAACGTATCCACGTTGAAAGTTCTTTTTTACCCATAACGACGCGTAAATGAATTGGCTAGGATCAACTTATATGCGTGATTGTGTAACTGTATCACATGATCTATTCAAAAATAAGAACTGACACGTTGACTAATAAATGTTTCATTATAAAAGTGTATTTATATGCGTGATTTGTGTAACTGTATCACATGATCTATTCAAAAAATAAGAACTGACACGTTGACTAATAAATGCTTCATTATAAAAGTGTATTAAATATACTACTATAATTGATATATGGCCTCAATAAAAGGTAAATCTATTCTCGCATAGTTGATACAAATCAATACATGAGAAAAAACAGGAAGAAAATGTATAAAAGAACATATCTGCTTATTAAGCCTTAACCCATATATTTGCAATTCCTTTTTACTATTCAAAGGTATAAATAAATATTATCTATCCAAGCATCTATCATTTCTAAATTTTTTTATTGCATTTTTTCTAATTAATCTTATTTCAAGTTTAAAAATATAAATCAATATAATAATATACATATGATTTAAAAAATAATTTCTTATATCTTTAATCATACTTCAAGTAATAAAGTTGGCTAAAGACATAGAAATAATCTTTTACAGTTGAAAATGACAAGAAATCTTTGAATGAAGCAAGGGAAATAATTTAATTAAAGAACACTTTACTTTAGAAGAATATAGAAAAGCCATATCATCACTAAGAAACAATAAACTACTATTCGTAGATCAGCTAATCTAAAGAAATTAGGAATTGGTGAATGCCCCAACTATTTCAAAATACCAGTAAAGGTCCCATTCTTGAATGGTTCCAAGCTTTAATTAAAACTCTTCCAAGTAATAGAATAGGTCGACTCATGAATACATGGAAAAGAAATTGGACAAAGTGGAAATCAGAATATGTTGCAATTAATTTAGACTGTAACAAATGACAAAAACTATGGATAATTACAAAGAAAGTTGAGCATCACATAATTTGGAAAAAACTATAATAGACAAAAGTAAGGCATAAAGTTAACGTCGAATACTTCAACTGTTGTAGTAATGATAATACTCAAATGATGATATTAACAAGTTGCTCAGAATGCTCAGAGAGTATAAAACAAGAGAGGGAATGTATATTAGAGAAAGATATAAAAGATATATATGAAGTTTCATATCTCAATACAAGAAAGTCAACCAGAAGAGCTCAAGAACTAATAATTCTCTGCTTCAAGGAATTATAGAAGGGACAATGGAAAAGGTTACTAATATGGATCCAAACTCCCAAGCCTTAACTCCAACCAATATAGTGAATTGAGTAGATATTGAAAGATAGGAAGAGGTTATTATTAGAGACAATATTATAAAAGGAGTATATCAGGACCATCTAATAGAAATATTTCAATGTAACCTGGAATCCAATATTAAAAAACCAATTTTTTACTCCAATAAATTACTCATTAATCATGGAAAGCAAGTAATAAAAATAAGAGTAGTATGGATCCAGATAGGAAATATGGGTAAAAAAAGTAGATTTCAGATAGGAATAGACAGTTAACTCTCTTCAATATGTGCTGAACTTGTAGCAATTGTTACAATACTTCTGGTGGTTCTAGTGGATAGCAATGTGAAAATCCATACAGATAGTCAGGTCTATATTTTCAAGTGGAAAACAATAGAAAGAGAAGATCCAAAGCAAACTCACAAAAGATGGTTAAAGGAAAAAAACTGGTCCCTATAGATATGAATGTTAGAATTGATAAAGAAAAAGATTATAAATCTATAACTTATCAAGGTTAAGGTACATTCCAATGATTCTTATAATGAAAAAGCAGATGTTCTAGTCAAAGAAGCTCTGAAACTCCTAGCAATAAAATAAAAAGAGCTAACCTTATACAAGATTATTACAGAAATTAAATGGCAAGAAAAGATGCTGAATGACCCAATAAAATAGTTTGTTAAAAAAGTAAACAATAAAACAACTGCCTTCTAGTGAACACAACAAAACAGAATTGAAAAAAGATGAAGTTACCAAATTATAGAACAGTAAGATTATACTAGAGATCTTGTATGGGAAAGAATGAAAGAAGAATATACCTGAGATACTTCCTTTAAACAATTACAGTGAAAAAGCTTCCTTATAAAACTAATGAATAATGAGCTACCAACTCTGAACAAACTGGCAACTAGAAGGCCCGACCTTTATAAGTATATTGCATGCAACCAGTAAAGTGAAACTTTCAAACATTTACTAGAGTATTTTGCATACAAAAAACAATTACAGGAAGTATGGAATAAAGGACAAGATGTGATCTTTAGCAACTTCAGAGGGTTCTTACAAAAGAGGAAAAAAGAAGCAGAAAAAAAATATGCAAGGTTGATTATTCATGACAAAGAAAAAATGGTTGAGATAGATAAATAAATATCAAACTGGTAGAACAGACCTCAAAAACCAGTCAGGACACTCTAAACTTTTGCACAGGACTAATAAGAAGAGACCTAATCCTAAAAATAGCAGATCTGAAATGCTATGGAAAAAGAATTGATAATAAGACAAAAAAATAGATATTAAAGATACAAAAAAGAGTATGCAATCAAATAAGAAAAAAGATTTGAAACAAAAGATGTGAGAAGATAATTGAATGAGAATATTTACAAAGGATCTACAGAGTAAAAAAAATCAATCAATCCTTAGGTACACATAATTTAAAACCATCAGCTCCCAAAAGTAAAGATCCTCTATCAGAAAAAAGAAACTCAAGAAAATGAAAGCCTGAAAAAAATTCTACTTAAAGGTGTTACTTATGGAATGAAATGGTTGGGTTTTAAGCTTGGTCATAACAATGGATAGTGAGTAATCTGTAGTGATTATTTGCAGGCAATAAAGTTAAAGGTTGGAAGGGTATCCACCTGAACCATTAACAGAGCAATAAATTACTCCCGAAGTTGCACTTAGAGTTTTCGTATATTAAGACAAAACAGTAATAAGTAAGTTAGATAAAGTCTTAGCTTTAGCGAATTATTTAAAATGTACAATATACAAATATTTAATAAAGCATACATACTTAGCCTGACCTAGAGTTTATGAAAAAAAATAATAATAATAATTTCTTGTATCTTTAATTCTATTAAAGATAATTAAAATTTTTTTCTAAATTATAAAAATAATATTTTTAAGTTTTTGACTTGAATTTGAGAAATTTAATAAAAATTTACTTTGTTAATTAGATTTTTCTTATTAACAATTTGAACAAAAAAGTATTATTGATTAATTTCACTTTAAAATATTATGAATATCTTGTTAATTAATTTGAAATTGTTGCAATTTGACTAAAATTATATGATAAGTTTCTAAACTCATTTGTTTTATTATATTTTTTATTTATTATATTAATAATATTTTATTTTCATTATATAATTAGTATTATAAAAATTCTTTTATAATAAAATTTTTATTAACTTTAATTTTAATCTTATTAATTCCATTCAATAATAGTAATATTGATTATAATTTTATAAAAATTTGTTTTATTAATTTTTTTTATGATATTTATAAAAGAAATTATAAAATAATAAATTTTATAATAAATAAATTTTTTAAAAGTTATTTTTGTAAACATATCACCATGAATCAATCAAATTATGGGTTCAACTTCTATCTATTGGATTAAATTTGTAAATTATTACACAAGAATATTTATTATAAATGAAAGTCAAAAATGTCAATATAAACTTAATAATATACAGGCATTTCAGTTACACTAGTCGAAATTATGTCATTCAGCTGCTGAATTATTATCAAATTTGATAAAATTTAATAATAAAAATATTGATAAATTATTTACTATTGTTGCACTCGACAATAAAAATATCGGCAAAAAATCAGCAAAAAAATATCAGTATTTTGTGAAAAAAAATTCAGCACAAAATTTGACAATATTGCAAAAAAAAAAAATTTTTTGTAATAAAAAATTCAGTAAAAAATTGGTGCTATGGCAAAAAATTTGACAAAAAAATTAATACTGCAGCAAAAAATTTGGCAAAAAAATTATTGCGGAAAAAAAAAATTACTGTGGCAAAAAATTCAAATTTCATGAAATTTATTAAAAAATTACAAATTCAATTAACTAAATTATTCGTCATTTTCCTCTTCCTCTTTCTCCTCTTCCTCTTTCTCCTCTTCCTCTTTCTCCTTTTCCTCTTTTTCTATTTGCTTTTCTTTTCTCTTTAAAGATTTCGGCTTGACTCTTTTAAAACTAGCCCCAATTGATTTTACCTTGCCGAATGTTTTTCGAGATTTTTCGCTTTTTTCTTTTAATCTAACTGTCCCCCGAATTTCACCTATTTATATACTTTCTCCAGTTTGTTTCTCACCTTCAGAATACTTTAATGATTCCTTATATTCGATAATTTTTCGTCTTTTGGATTTATTGGCCTTTTTTTGTCACTTTTTCTTATTCACATTCTAAAGTTTCTTCTAAACTATATATCCAATTCGGCAAGCCTTCTAGTGGCATCACATTATAGAAATATGAATCGTCACGATATCGGTTACGAGTCAGCTGGAATGTTTGAATTGATTTCAAATGTTCATCCAAATATATCAACAAATCCTTTAACCATAAGTAATTATGATTAATATTGTAATTATTGGTATATAGTATAATATTTTGCCAAAAAATATCTCTTTAGAACACCAACTGTAATCATATACATTTATTCTTCTTTTAGTGGGGTTTCCTGAATCAGTGTCACTTTCTTCTGATTAATGTACTTTTGTTTCTTTAACTACATCAGTTAATTCATTCCAATATTTGACAACTTTCTTTGACCTTTGTTCAATAAGTGACTGTGTGCTTTTAATTCTTTGTATCTTTTTCTTAATTATTCATTAAAAATTAATACTTGAAGGTAGTATAAATACAGAATATTATTAATCTTATTTCATTTAATTGGCTATTTATATGTAAGCAACGATTGTCCACTTCCAGTTTTCCAGTTTCTGCCTTTCGATATCTTTCTTTCTAATGGCGATATA